TACATGCCCTGGATGCTGTGTTCTCCATTTTTTGATGTAGAGTCTAATAAATGAGCTGCAGTGTCTATATATGATTGACTCATGTGTATAGGATCTGGAAACATTGTTTGATTTTGAGTGCTGGTGAAATGGTTTTGAAGCAATTGTTTGATTTTGCCAGAAGAGTCTGAGGTTTTGAGAACTTAGTTTGGGTATTTGGATTTGTCTTTAAGGTTTTGAGAAAATGAGTGGTGGTTTCAAGAAATGTGTTTTAGCAATTCAGAAAAACTGTAAGATTCATTTGTTCACTCTTGATTTATCTCTAAAAAGCTCAGATACCAAAGTTAATGTTGTCTGATTACGTTTCTATTGATAAAGTCTGTAAAGTCCACAAGAGAAAACTGCACTATTAATTACACTATTAAAACTATTACTTAGCAATCAGAAAAGCTGCTGAAATGATCCAGTCAAGTTGCAGCTAAAATACAGAAGCACAGACCAGTTGAAAAAACACAAAGTGAAACTGTAAAAGTAATAAAAGAGCAGAAAACTGTGAGTTGATTTATGAGACGCTATATTAACTGAGTCCTTGGATACAAGTCAAAATACTACAAAACACTCAGCTGAATGTTTGAACTCCTATTTTCTGTGGTTGAACCGAGCAGATGGGAAAAACACTTTAGATTAGAGTGTGATCAGTGGCAGAAGAAGCACTGAGATCCTTTACTGAAGTCAAAGTAGAAAAACTCCTGCCTTCATAATGTACTTGAAGTACCAACAGTACCAGTACTCGTTCTGCAGAACGGCCTGTGTCCCAGTAATGTCTCTGATACTACGGGATCATAGTGACTGATGCGTTACTGTATCCATTGATTTAATGCTGCAGCTGGTAAAGGTGGAGCTGATGGTAACTACACTTTAAGTTTGTTCGTCTTTGTTACTGAAAACCTGTTCAACACTGTGATATTATTACTGGTAACAAGGGCAAAAGGTCAGCGTCAGGTCCTGGTAAAAGTAGCAACACTATAAAAACACAAGCAAAAGCACCGCATTCAGAATTCTGCTTGAGTAAAAGTACAGATCAGCAAAATGTTCTTAAAGTACCCAAACTAAAGGTACTGATCCTGCTAAACTACGGTTTTAAGTGTCAGGCTATGGAGTCACAATGCTCCCAAAATATGGTTCTAACCTTGTGCACAGGTTTTTGTCTTGTTCAACAACACAGACAAAAGTATTTCAGGACTTGAGGAGCTCTTGTTTGTTCTGTTGCAGGTCAGGAGCCAGTTTTGGTGTCGGTGCTGCAGGGTTCGACAGCTATACTGCCCTGTCCTCATAAGACAGGAAATGTGACATGGAGCCGCTTCAGGGGTGGTTCATCAGTGACCCTCGTCACCATCAGAAACGACCAAGAGGTCAAAACTGACCAACGTTACGGGTCCACAGCAGATAAGTCCCTGGTGATAATTAATGTTAAGGACATTGATGAGGGGATGTACTTCTGTAATAGAATGAAAGTTTTAGTGACCACAGCTCGCACCATGGTGGATCCTCCAGCTCAGCCTGAAGACAACCAACCAGTCACACCAATAAACAGGGGCCACACACCTGCAGACACAGAGAACCAACAGGCCCTGGACTGGTGGAAAGTACGTGTGGGTGTAGTCACAGGTGCTACTGTGGTGCTGTTGGCCATCTTAACCTTGAGGCTGTGCTCCAAACACAGGGCGGAGAGAAAGAGCAGCGTGGCTGAGCCTGTAACCAATGTGATCTACCAGGAGATTGAAGACGTCGACTTGTAGCCAGGCCAAGAGCCTGATGGAGAGAGTCTGCACTAATGGTCAAGCATCATGGAAATGCTAACAGTTATTTTAGTTTTTTATTTTTACTTCCCACTGAAAAACAGATTTCAGTTTGTTTTCAATTGAGTTGTACAAGTTATAGGTCACATTAAAGGTGGCTAAAGTTCTGGAATTATTTATCTTGGTCTCGTTTTTTTTACATCACAGAAACCTGGCATTTTAACAAGGGTGTGTAGACTTTTTATATCCACTGTAATGCTTCCCCTTCCCATCACACCTAAATGCTCTTATAAGGGTGGGATTTAACTAGAATGTGCCACAGGTGGACTCCAGTCAGGGCCCAGACATGTCTCACTCAGGACGCAGTGAGCACAGTATTTAGTGACTTTTAGAAAGGACACTTCAGTTTTTCATTCTCCACTTATCCATTACAAACTACAACACAGCACAGGGAGGGAGCCTCAATACTCTGTGAAGCCACTGTAAAACAATATGTGCCACATTTCTTGACAAATTACAATGAGCTGAATCTCCCCTGTTGTAACTGGGCCAGACAGAACTCTTCACTGTGCAGTAACAGGACATGACTGTATCAAAGCACGACCCCACTGGAAGTCCACTGAGCATACTGATCTTATTTACTCCCACCCACCTCTGACCGGTTGTTGTCCAGGTGAACACAAGCACAAGCTGAAGCACGTCCTCTGAACATCACAACACTATCTCCGACCTGAAGATGGATAGCGCCGCTTTGTGCGTGCTGATCCAGAACCAGCACACAGAATCCGAGCTCAGGCTTCGGAGGGACATGCACGGCATGCAGGAAGACTTCAGAGAGAATAGGCGCCAGAACGAGAACTGCATGAAGGAGCTCAAACTGGTGAGAAGGCACCAAGCCAGCTTCAGTTCCTCCACCTGTGGTTGTGTTGCCTGTTCTGTGTGACAGACTTGGTGTCATGTGATTGTCAACAGAAGCACCAGGTGGAGCTGATGGAGCTGGTCAACGAATACGACCGGAGGGTCCAAGGTGAATAAAGCTGAGCCAGTGGTGCTCAGACCTGTCAGACACACACCAGAGAAGGGTTGGGAGCACACATTTACCCAGGGACTGCTACTGACATCCAAACTTCTTTTAAAAACCGTTTCTTCAGTGGGAGGTGTTTGTGCAAAAACATTGATGTTAGCATTTTCTAAGAAGGTGATTAAATTTCCCTAGGAATCAATAAACACTGATATATTTGTAATGCACAGCTTTTTAAGTGGAGATGTAACAGTAGGAAGCTGTATGACAGAGAAACAAACCGGTGCTGAGATGATCTACGTCAGAGAGATCAGGACAGAGTAGCAGCACTGGCTTTACACGGTGTCTGTGTGTAGCCCAAAGTGGTGGAACATCCTTTGTCTGTAAATAACAGAGCAAAGGACTTTATTCTTCATAGTCGGACATTAGCTGAAGTAGTACAATTATCAGACAGAAAACTGTGACAGTTTAGTTTGAGAGTGAAAGTGAAGGGTATTTACTTTTTTACTTTCATCCTAAATTTGACTTTTAGAAGTTTGTTCAGTACAAGCCCAGACGTCCAAAAATGACACATTCTGCTCCTGAACGTTCTCTCTGCTGGTCTTCCAACAGAAGTGCAGCTGATGTATCACAAGAAGATGTTGGCAGCAGAAGAGGTGGAGGCCAAGAAGCGGGTGGCGGAGGTCAGTGAGCTGGATAAATGGATGAGAAGCTGCACGACAGATCTGATTAAGGAGCATGACAGAGCTCTGAGAGGCGCTGAGGAGTACTACTCTGTAACTCACACACGAGTGCTGCAGGAGCAGAGGGAGCTGAAGGTGGGAGATGCCACGCACTGGCTGAAGAAACATCCACACTCCAAATAAAGCGCAGTACATGGAAACTCACACACAGTTTCTGCACCAGTCAGAAAACCAGAGACCAGCTGCTTCTGCTCTTTGGGCTGTGAGGGTCTTTGATAAAGCGCAGTACATGGAAACTCTCACACAGTTTCTGCACCAGTCAGAAAACCAGAGACCAGCTGCTTCTGCTCTTTGGGCTGTGAGGGTCTTTGGTCACGACTATATATGTAACACAAAATTCATCTAATTAAAAGTAATTTTGCAAAATATTTTTGTTCCCACAGAAAATGTTCCTGGGAGCTAAAATATAACTCAGATATTCTTATTGTTTCACAAAGAAGATTTAGATTTTGTTAGCATCTTCTCTTCCATGTGGAATTTAGTTCTTTGTATTTATTTTATTATGAGATATTTCTTAAAAGCAAAGTAAGTATATTTACACAAAAATTTTTATTTTCACTACTTCAGGCACTGAGGCCTTTAAGACACTGTTCCGCACTGTCAGCCACAGCAGGTGCACAGCGTTCATTTTAAACCTGGACGAGGACGCGCTGGCTCTGGTTTTACGCACGGTGGTGTGAGTTTGTGTGTGTTTGCAGGAGAAGCTGTTGAAATTGTGAGCCGACCATGGGCTCTTGACGGCTCAGCGGAAGAACAAGCATCTGAGAGAGTCTCTGCAGAAGGCTGAGCAACAGCTGCTCGAGCTCCAGAAGCAGCTCAAGGAGTACAACACGGCCAAGGCCCAGAGGGCAGTGAGTTCACTGCACAGCGCCCAAACGCACCACCGCACGTTCTCTCTGCTTGGTCTTACTATCAGTAACTTAGGGTTGATTTTCATGTTGGTGATCAAATCCTTCTGGTTATTTGTTTTATGTATAAAGCAGGAAGCAGCTCTCAAATACAACAGAAAGCACAGTGAAGAGATAATGTCGTGTTTGACTGGAACGAAAAACTATAACTATTGTGCCATAAACATTTCTCTGTGTGACAGGCGGCCCGAGCTCATCTGAAGGTCATTGAGAAGGAGCTAAAAGACGTGACGGTGCAGCACAAGCTGCTGCTGCAGGCCTTCCAGAAGTTTGCCGCAGGTATTCCCTCCCTGCAGCCTGGGTCGCGTTGCTGTGAGCGTGTCTGTGTCCGGCAGGTGCAACAGGAGCACGACAAGCTTCTGCAGAGGCAGGTGGAGGCCATCGTGGCTGTGCAGCAGAGGAGCAGGCTGAAGGCACTGCTGCTGCAGAGGAAGCTGGCCGCTGTCACTGAGGCTCTGGAGAAGGAGGAGGCTCAACTGTGCGCCATGCTGTCCGCCTCCAACATCAAGCCAACAGCTGGCAGCAGCACCACAAACACACTCCAGGTACCATGTTCTGTCCACACCTTGTTTCCACTGAATCCACTTCAATGTGTCCCTCCTGAGCTGTCCAGGGCTTCTGCAGCTCCTGAAAAGGCTTAAAGGAAACAACAGGGAATTACTGTTAAATACACAGTAGACGAGCTGACAGAAATATGATGTAAATTTAATAAACCAAGTCTTTAATAAAGGATTTCAGGCCTGTGGCGTGCAGGGTATCTGCAGAGCTTTGCACTGAACTAAATTCACTCCAAAAAAAGTATTTCCTAAGGCCTTGAATATTTTCCTGCCTGCCGTAACTTTAGTTCCCCCTGCTGAGATGCACCAACTTAAGTAAATGAACCATTTAATTTTGTACGAGTTAACCCCCCCACCATCACCTGGGCACAGACCCAGGCTGAACCAGCCGGGGGCAGTGGCCTGACACCGCCTCCCACTGATGTCTGCTGGTGCTGTCCCGGGATGCGAGGGCCGAGCAGGGCTACAGGCTGTGGTCATTGTGGTTGTTCTTTAAGCTCACACACTGTGTTTCCTGCTTGCAGGGACTCCTGGGGTCAAAACATGTCACTATCAGCGCCTTACAGGATGATGAGTCCAAAGTGAGGTGTCTCAATGTTTTATCTAATTGTCTACTGTAGTTTTAATCACCACTGATGTGGAGCTGACGTTATCATGTGACCACAGGAGTATAAGGACCTGCTGTGCACCTGTGGACAGGCCCCGAGGGTCCCGCAGCACGACCTCGCCTTCAGGCCCACAGAGCAGATCCTGAGCAGACCGAGCTCCAGAACCTGAACTCCTCCAGGACACCACCTGGCCTCCCAATTGTCCCTCGCTCCATCACTTCCTAAACACCAGATGCACGAGCTGGATCTGATGCAGTTTCCAGCCTCTGTGTGTTTTGTATAAACCTGATATAAATGAACCTTCTCAGCCGCCTCGTCCTTTATCCCTGCTGTTCTCTGCTGGTTACGTGTTTGTTAGGATTGGATTTCAGGAGTTAAAGTTATTTTTCTACTTATCATCAGCATTATTTTGCTTTTATAATGGAAAGGTTCAGTATGACTATTTGTCTGTTTCATTAACAGCTCCATGTATCAGTATTAACCAGCTCTTATGCATGCATTATAGTTATAATATTCAGTTTTGAGACAACTTGTAGTATTTCTTGTCTTCTTGGTGAAATGTGCATAAATTGATTGCAAAGATAAGTGTCATCCTGAAAACTATAGATAAGATGCTAACTGCATGTCTACTTTCAGAAACGCCTGAAAATACCAACACACACACACACACGCTGCTTATTCGAACATTCTAGAAGATTTGTATGAACCTTGTGTCCAGTTCATGTTGTAAGTGTAGAGCCAACAGATTAGAAGATAATATGAGTTTCCACTCATGTACAGGGCAGTCCCAGCCCGCAAAAGATATATGTGAATTACTTCCTATTATCAGAGCTCTTGGAGACTTGTCATCTCTCAGAGCCCAGCGCTGTAATAACTCTGCATTTAACCAGTAGAAAATAAATCTACGTAAAGCTGATTCCTGTTTCTTGAGTGTTACTTCTTGGGGCCTTCAGATAAAAGAACCGGTTGAATCTAAAATGTTTAGCAGGAAAACTCTGAATGTTAAAGTCACTCTTGTTGTTAAACAATAAACAATCTTCAGTGGGACATCAGTGGGACAGGCTGCCATCTGAACAAACTCCTCAGTGCCTCCAGCTGCAGGACACCGTTACAAACCAAACAGCTGTGAAATAATTACAGATTTAATGTGGAGTGGCTCTGGT